CTACCTTCATACTCATTATTGGGAATTGGTTACCTACACCTCATACTCTTGTGGTATTGGTACCTACCTCATACTCTTGTGGGTGTGGTACCTACCCTCCATACTCTTGGTATTGGGTCTCCCTACCCATACTCTTGTGGGTATAGGAACCTACCCATACTCATGTGGTTGTTGTACCTCCTCATACTCTTGTGGGTATTGGGTACCTACCTCATACTCTGTGGGTATTGGGTACCTACCTCATACTCTGCAGGGTGGGTACCAACCTCATCATCATGTGGGGTATTGGGACCTACCTCATACTCCTTGTGGGAATTGGTACCTACCTCATACTCTTGTGGTGTTGGGTACCTAACCTCATACTCTGTGATTGAGTACCTACCTCAATACTCTTGTGGGTATTGGGTACCCTACCTCATACTCCTTTGGTAGTGGTACCTACCTCATACTCATGTGGGGTTGTTTTGTACCTACCTCATCCTCTTGGGGTATTGGGTACCTAACCTCATACTCTTGTGGTATTAGGGTACCTACCTCAAACTCTTTGTGGGTGTTTGGTACCTACCCTCATACTCTTGAGTATTGGTTACCTACCTCAGTACTCTTGTGGGTATTGGTACCTACGCTTATACTCTTGTGAGTATTGGTACCTACCTCATACTCTTGTGGTTATTGGTACCTACCCTCATTCTCTTATGGTATTGGTGTACCTACATCATACTCTTGTGGTTTTGGATACCTACCTATACTCTTGTGGTATTGGTAACCTGCCCAACTCTTGTGGTACCCACATACTCTGTGGGTATTGGGGTTACCTACCTCATACTCTTGTGGTATGGTACTGCCGCATACTCTTTGTGGGTATTGGTACCTACCTCTTCACTGTGGTATTGGGTACCAACCTCTTATACTCTTGTTGGACACTCATATACTCTTGTGGGTATTGGTACCTACCTCATACTCTTGTGGTTTTAGGGTACCTCCTCATACTCTTGTGGGTATTGGTACCTACCTCATACCTTGTGGTTATTTGGGTACCTACCGCATACTCTTGTGGTGGTTGGGTACCTACCCATCTCTTGTGGGTTTTTTTTTTTTATTGGGTACCTACCTCATAACTCTTTGTGGTATTGGGTACTACCTACCTCATACTCTTGTGGTATGTACGCTACCTCATACTCTTGTGGGTATGGGTACCTGCCACAACTCTTGTGGGTATTGGTACCTACCTCATACTCTTGTGGATTGGTACCCTACCTCATAACTCTTGTGGTGTTGGGTACCTACCTCATACTCTTGTGTGTGTTTGGGTACCTACCTTCATACTCTATGTGGGTATTGGGTACCAACCTCATACTCATGTGGGTAATGGTCCTGCGCTCATACTCTTTGAGGATATTGGTGTACCTACCTCATCCCTCTTGTTTGTATGGGTACCTACCTCTACTCTTGTGGGAATTGGGTACCAACCTCATACTCTTGTGGTGGGTATTGGGAACCTACCCTCATACTCTTGTGGTATTGGTGTACCTACCGTGCATACTCTTGTGGTATTTGGTACCTAGCTACCTCATACTCGTGTGGGTGTTGGGATACCTACCGTTCAATACCTCCTTGTGGGTATTTGGTACCTACCTCATACTCTTGTGGGTATTGGGTACCTACCTCAACTCTTGTGGTATTAGGTAACCTACCTCATACTCTTTTGGTTTTTGTACTACCTTCATACCTTGTGGTATTGTGTACCTACCTCATACTCTTGTTGGTATTGGTACCTTTACCTCGTACTCATGAGGTGATGGGACCTCCTCAACTCTTGTGGGTATTGGTTACCTAACTCTTACTCTTGTGGTATGGGTACCTACCTCATACTCTGCAGGGTTTGGGTACCTACCTCATACTCTTGTGAGGTATTGGTACCTACCTCATACTCTGTGGGAATTGGTACCTACCTCATACTCTTTTTGTGTTGGTACTACCTCATACTCTTGTTGGTATTGAGTACCTACCCACATACTCCTTGTGGGTATGGGTACTACCTCAATACTCTTGTGGTATTGGGGTACCTACCACATACTCTTGTTGTGTTGGGTACCTAACCTCATACTCTTGTGCGGTTATTGGGTACCTACACTCATACTCCTTGTGGGTATTGGGTACCTACCTCATACTCCTTGTGGGTGTTTGGGTACCTACCTCAACTCTTGTGGGCATTGGGTACCTACCTCATACTCCTTGTGGTTATTGGGATACCTACCTTATACTCTTGTGGGTATTGGTAACCTAAACCTCAAACTCTTTGGTAGTGGGTACCTACTCATTCTCTTATGGTAGTGTACCTACCTCATACTCTTGTGTAATTGTATACCTACTTAACTCTTGTGGGTATTGGGTAAACCTCCTCATACACTGTGGTACCTCATACTCTTTTGGGTATTGGGTACCCTACCTCATTTACTCTTGTGGGTAATTGGGGTACCAGCTTCATACTCTTGTGGGTATAGGTACCTACCCTCATACTCTTGTGGGTATTGGGTACCTTACCCTCATACTCTTGTGGTACCTCATACTCTGTGGTATTGGGAAACCTACCATACTCTTGTGGGTATTGGGTACCTAAAACCTCATACTCTGTGGGTGTTTGGGTACCTACCTCATACTCCTTGTTGTATTGGTTACCTACCTCTACTCTTGTGGGTGTTGGGTACCTACCACATTAACTCTTGATGGGAAATTGGGTACTACCTCATACTCTGTGGGTATTTGGTCCCTACCTCGATACTCTTGTGGGTATAGGGTACCTAACCTCATACCTTGGGGGTTAATGGTACCTGCCTCATACTCTTGTTGTATTGGGTACCTACCTCATACTCTTTGTGGTATTGGGTACCTACCTCATACTCCTATGTGGGTGATGGGTACCTACCACATACTCATGGGTGTTGGGTAACTACAACAAACGCTTGTGGGTATTGGTGTAACTACCTCATACTCTTGTGTGTGATTGGGTACCTACCTCATACACTTGTGGGTAGTTGGTACCTGCCTCATACTCTGTGGGTATTGGTACCACCTCATACTCTTGTGGGATTGGGTACCTTACCATCATACTCTTTGTGTGGTATAGGGTTACCTGCCGCATACTCTTGTCGGGTATTGGTACCTTCCTCATACTCTTGTGGAATTGGGACCTACCTCAAACTCTTGTGGGTGTTGGGTACCTACCACATACACTTGTGGTTATTGGGTACCTACCTCATACTCTTGTGGTATAGGTTACCTAACCTCATACTCATGTGGGTATTGGTAACTAACCTCATACTCTTTTGGGTATTGGTACCTACCTCATACTCTTGTGGGTTTGGAGCCCTAACTCATACCTGTGGTATTTTGGTACCTAACCTCATACTGCTGTGGTGTTGGGTACCTACTCATCTCTTTGTGGGTATTGGGTACCTACATCATACTCTTGTGGGTATTGGGTACCTACCTCAACACTTGTGGTGTTGGGTACCTACCTCATCTCCTTTGTGGAGTATGGTACCTACCGTCATACTGCTTGGGGTATTTGGTACCTAACCTTATCCTTGTGGGTTATTGGGTACCTACCTACATAACCTTGTGGGTATTGGGTACCTACCTCATCACTTATGGTTATTGGGTACCTACAACATAACCCTTGGTGGGTAATTGGATACCTACCTTATACTCTGTGTTATTGGGTACCTGCCTCATACTCTTGTTGGTACCTCATACTCTGTGGGTATTGGGTACCTACCTCCTACTCTTGTGGTATTGGGGTACCTGCCTCATACTCTTGTGGGTATTGGGTCAACTACTAAACTCTTGTGTATTGGGTACCTACCTCATACGTCTTGTGGTACCTCATACTTCTTGGGGTATTGGGTACCTACCTCAGACCTTGTGGGTATTGGACCTACCTCATACTCTTGAGGGTGTAGGTTACCGACCTCATCTCTTGTGGTATTGGGTACCTACCTCATACGCTTGTGGGTGATGGAACCTACCTCATACTCTTGCGGGTATTGGGTTACCTGAACCTCATACTCTTTTGGTTATTGGACCTACCTCATACTCATGGGGTAATTGTGTACCTACCTCATACCGTTGGTGGGTATTGGGTACCTGCTCAAACTCATGTGGGTATTGGTACCTACATCAATCATGTGGGTATTGTACCTATCACATACTCTTGTGGTGTTGGGTACGTAACCTCAAACTCATGTGGGATGTTGGGTACCTACCTCATACTCCTTGTGGTATTGGGTCCCTACCTCATACTCTTGTTGTGGTATTGGGGTACCTACCTCATACTCTTGTGGGTATTGGGTACCTGCCTCATACTCTTGTGTATTGGGACCTACATCATACTTTGTGGTAATTGGTACCTACCACATAACTCCTGTGGGTTATTGGGTACCTGCTCATACTCTTTGGTATTGGGTACCTAACCTCATACTCTTGTGCTTGGGTAACCTACCACATACTCTTGTGGGTGTTGGGTACCTACCACATACTCTTGTGGGTATTGGGTACCTACCACATAACCTTGTGGTTTGTGTACCTTACCCATACTCTTGTGTATTGGTACCCTACCTCCTACTCTGTGGTATTGGGTACCTACCCATACTTCTTGTGGGTAATGGGTGCCTACCTCATACGCTTGTGGGTAATGGGTACCACCTCATACTCCTGAGGTATTGGGTACCTACCTCATACTCCTTGTGGGAATTGGGTACCTACCTCATACTCTTGTGGGTATGGGATACCTACCACAATACCTTTGTAGGAATTGAGGTACCTACCTCATACACTTGTGGTATTGGTACCACCTCATACATCTTGAGGTATTGGGTACCTGGTCCGTGCCTACGTAGAACTAACAGCCTTGTGATAGTTGGTTCATCTTTGTAATAAATGTTTCCCCCATGTACACTCTCAGTCTGCAGCGTTTTTTAACATGCGGTCCTTGTGATCACCTGGTAGGTGTTCAACGCCACGGAGAACATGTCAATTGCTGCGTACTGGTTGGCCATGTTGAACAACACCTTGAAACACCAGTGTTGTTAAGTGGGGCATTGGTTGAACATCTGTGAAACACCAGTGTTTGTTATGGGCATCGTTAACATCTGTGAAACACCAGTGGTTGTTAGTGGCATTGGTTTGAACATCTGTGAACACCAGAGTTGTTAGTGGGGCATTGTGAACATCCTGTTGAACACCAGTGTTGTTAGTGGGGCATTGGTTGAACATCTGTGAACACCACGTGTTAGTGTGGCATGGTTGAACAACTGTGACACCAGTGTTGTTTGTGGGCATTGGTTGAACATCTGTGAACACCAGTGTTGTTAGTGTGGCATTGTTGAACATCTGTGAAACCAGTGTTGTTAGTGGGGCATAGGTTAACACTCTGTGTACCCCATGTGATAGTGGGGCATTGGTATGAAACACTGTGAAACCAGGGTGTTAGTGGGGCATTGGGTGAACATCTGTGAACACTTTTTGTTAGTGGTGAATAAGGTTGTACAAACACCTTTGAACAAGTGATAGTGGTGAATAAAGTTGAACAAGAGTGTCAGTACTGGCATCACTTCAATACACAGAGGTGTACCAACAGGTGAAAACAACTGTAGGCCTAACATGTAAATAACTGGAGGCCTAACGGTGTAAACAACTGTAGGCTTAACATGTAAAATAACTGCAGGCCTAACGAGTGTAAAGAACTGTAGGCCTAACATGTAAATAACTGTAGGCCTAACATGAAAACAACTGTAAAGGTCTATAACTCACCATTCTTGGTTCAAAAATGTGTATTTTTTTCGCAACCACTGCCACATTTTTTTGTGAAAATTTTTCGAAAAATTTTTTGTAAAAAGTTTTGCGTAAAAATTTATGTTAAAAACCTTTACTAAAAACATCGTAAATTTGTTCATAAAAAACTGCCTAAAAATTTGCATACGCATTTATGTAAAATCTTTGTAATGCCTTTGTAAAAATTTCTGTAATAAAAAAATCGTAAAAAATCATCCCCGGACTATAATAACTATCAACCACCTGAACACATGCAACACCGCCAGATCACTCCACTGAACAAAGGTACCAACTAAGCCATATACAAATGCAAATGGCTTTATACAACTCCCAAAATTATCTGGCAAGGCCTCTTTCTAGACCTATGCAAAACTTTCGTTGTGGCAGGTCAGCTTATAATTGGTATCATAGGTCATAAAATTTTGAACACTAGTAACAGAGGTCCACACAATTGAACACTAGGTTAACAGAGGGTCATAAAATTTAACACTATGGTATCAGAAGGTCACAAATTGAAACACTATGGTATCAGAGGTCAACAATGAACACTATGGTATCAGAGGTCACACAATTGAAACACTATGGTATCAGAGTCCACACAATTGAACACTATGGTATCATAGGTCACACATTGACACTAATGGTATAAGAAGGTTAGGAATGTGTAGGAGAGAGAGACTACTTCCCGGTAAAAAAAGAGGTCATAGACAGTAATGTGTAATGTCACCATGGTTTGGTTTACATATTTATAGATGGGCTTGTAAGAGAAGTGAGTGCTTGGTGTTGTGGGAGAGGGGTGGGATTCAAATATAAGAAATATACACACAAAGTGAAAGGGACAGTTGTTTTACTGATGACACGTGATTTCTGGAGATTCTGAAGGATGTAGCAAAAGTTAGTTGACGATTTTGGAAGGTATGTAAAGAAGGCAATTGAAAGACAGGGAGGGAGTATGATGGAAGTGAATATGTTCAGATATATGGAGTAGACTTGTCAGATTGGTCTATGAAAGACCAGGTGAATAATAGAATTGATGAGGTGAAAAAGGTGTGCGGTGTACTGAAGAGATCGGGTGGAGACAAAAAACTAATCTATGGAGCAAAGAGGGAATGTATGAGTTGTAATAGTGGTACAACACCCCTTATAAGGGTGTGAAAGCATGGTGGTGAATGTGCAAATAGGAGAAGGCCTGGAGGCAGTAGAGAAGACATGTCTGAGGGCAATGTGTGGTGTGAATGATAATGCAAGAATCCATAACTTTGGAGATAAGAAGGAGGTGATGCATACTAAAAGTATAATCCACAGGCTGAGGAGGGGGTTGTTGAATGGTTCCAGAACATTTAAGATAGATGGAACAAATACCACCATGTTCACTAACAGAGCGCTTTAAACTCACAAGAAACGACACAAACACAACATACAAATCTAAGGTCAAGTCAAGTTTATGTTGTCACGAGTAGACCACCCCCAGTGATTTTTCCCTCTGACATAATCAAACAAATCATTTCTTTTATACACAACATAACACGTACACATCAAGTACACAACAGGTACATAACATGCTCACATAACGTACAGAGAAGTCAGGTCAAGGTTATGACCATCAGACAGACCCCAGCTTGTTCCGCTCTGGTCGTATCAGGATCGTTCTCGCTGGAGGCTTCCTGTAGCACTCTCCAGTGCCAAACGCACCCTCACCCTTCGCTGCTGCTGTAAAAGACTCCTCGATCATGTCAATCCCGACGAGAGCCAAACTTTCCAGAGCCTTTTATCTTCTATCCTCAGCACTGAACAATAACAACAATAATTATTTTAATTGTACAAATAAGAAAAAAATATCATAGCAATTATATTACTACTACAATACATAAATAATAATACCAATAATACTACTACATACAATATAAAACTAACAAATAATACCAATATCAAAAAAATAATAATGCCAAAAATATACTTAATAACAATAATATGTACGTACATAAATAACAATAATAAAAAATAATAATAAACAGATAATAATAAAATATGTTAATATGATTGCTTGTAAATTACCTGCCTTATGAATCAGACTGTTAATGACTGTAGTAACTGACTACTGTCTACAAGACAGACTGTATAATTTACAACTGTCTAACAAGACTGACTGTAGTAACTGACCCCTCTCCTCAGTCTTGAGATGAGTGCTGGTGCTGATGTCCCCTTGTTAAGCGCTGAAGCCAATGGATAAAACACGCTCCCATGAGAGGTGTAGCCTGTACCCCTCATTCTAGGACATAGTTCGAAGCATCCATCGCTGGACCACACCGCCGCCCCCAGCCCGCACCGCCGCCCAGTGAACTGTGTAGAGGAGCCTGTAGTGTGAGGATGTAAGTTATTTAGCTACAAGATTGACACCACGAGCCTACCTTATATCAACCACAAGACTGATGACTGACTACCTTAATAACTACTACAAGACTTAGGAGTGACATAATAATTAAAATCCATTAAAAGAACAAGGCATGAGACATAAATAACTGCCACATAATCATGTATAAAATACCCCCACCATACTCAAGACAGCAGAGTCACCCTTATCCACAAAGGAGGGCGATCCTACAGAATCAAAAATAACGTACAACCAATATCTAACTTGCCTTTGCACCTTCTCCAAAATCTTTGAAGAAAAAATCATAAACAAATCCACACCTACCTCGTTATCCATAAAAACATACTGAACCCCTGCCATTTTGGGTTTTAGGCTGATAAAAAGCACGAATGAATGCAATCATTCAAAGCTCTAATTACTATAAACAGCACTTGAAAGAAAATAAATATCCTCGGGGGCTCTTCATAGACCTACAACAGCATTTGATACAGCAGACCAAAATATCTTGCCACCTAAAACTAGAATTATTACGGGTCAGAGACACTCTGACACCAGTATGTATACACAAATAGTTGTAGACCTCCAATACTCACCAATATCAACCCTCCACTCAAACTTCTCCTAGACAGCTCAACAGAACACAGGCATAACATGAAGCACAAAATACTTTTTGACATCCCTCGTGTCGTCTTCACACTAACGCATAAATTCTAACCAAATTTAAAGCAACTCGTCCACAAATATTTTATTATCCCTTAACTATTAAGCCATTATTACAAACTTTACAATGTATGTTTGCATCATTAACCCTTTCAGGTTGAGAGTGCCCTCTCCTAAACTCGTTCTCAGGGCAGAAAAAATGTTTTGGAAAAAAAAAAAAAAATTCTTAATGAAATGATAGAGAATCTTTTCCCCTATCATAATGACACCAAAAGAATGAAAAATCTTAAGGAAAAACATTATGAATTTATGCTCTCGCAAAGTTAGCATGTCACGACAGATGTTAACCATCGGCTATTTCACCCACTTTGAGCCCTACTTTCGGCCAATTTCAGTGAACTAGTTGTATAAACATCATATCTATTTTGCTAGAACTTCCATTTTTTTTCTATTCGAATGAGTACAGGAAACCACCCAATTACGATTTTCAACTATCCATTAGTGTGGTCATAATGGCAATTTTGCAATCTCACACAAATTTCAGAAGATGCAAATTTCCAAAGAGTCCAGAATAAAACATGACATTCCTGGCACTAAAATAACATTTCCTCTGTTTGTCGTCACATTCCCCATGCCTCCCTTACATCTCTCTGCTTTCCACTTTGAATTTTTGTCACAAAAAATAGAAGATTTACTGTTATACAGACTGTCTCATTAGTGTAGACATGGGAATAAAAATAATCAGCGCACTTGTGAAAGAATATAAGACTCACCAGTATGATAATGTATTGGACGCTTGGCATGTTTATTTACTTTTAACTTTGTTAAAAATCGAACATTTCTGCTACTTTGAGCGCAATTTCAAGGTACTTATTCATTAGGAAACCAAATCAAAATCATCTCATTTACTGTAATATGTCTTCATTTCAATAAAATTAAGACCAGGAAAATAGAATACAACAATAAATAATACCATACGAAAGTACAGTGCAAATTGCTTTTTAATCACAAAAACACGGTCAAAGTTTTTTATTTTCTTTTATATGCCTGTTTGCTGAAGGATTTTTTTTTTATACTGCGCACAATGAACCACATAGACCCATTTTCATATATTAGGCCTACCACTTTCTCTCACATGATCTGAAGGCACTAGAATAGGCGATCTAGTAACGACAATAACCCTAGGTGCGTTAA